TCCCCCAGCACCCACCTGTCCCCCAGCACCCACCTGTCCCCCAGCACCCACCTGTCCCCCAGCACCCACCTGTCCCCCAGCATCGTGCACGGCAGCGCACACCTCCCCCACGTTGTCCTCGAAGACGCCGTTGGTGGAGGGATACGTGATCATGAGGCACGCGAGAGACGCGGCGTGCTCCTTGATCTATAACAATAAACAGGCTTTATCAAAACAAAATATTATAGTAAACATAAAATATACATGCATGATATATAGATATATATGTAAAATGATATAAATAAAGATATTGTCAACATCACAAGTTATTTGGTATAGCGCGCGTGTGGTTCATGAAAGCCAAAGTCTCATAGCCAAAGTTTGACAATAACGGAACAGTTTTCTATTATATTGCATAGAAAACGATAACTGGAAACGATTTCAACCACAAAATAATTGTAGAAAAATCTACGCTCGGCAGCACTAGCTACTGAATCGAAATATGAAATAAGAGCAATAAAATAGAAATTAAATGGACTGTTAGATACGGATAATAAACCGTTTAAATATCACATTGTACCTACCGAAATTTAGGAGAGTTTGCGATACGTTTTCGTCGGCGGCCTCACAGAAAACGGTTCAACATAGAAAACATTGGAGGGGTGACATTATTGCTATAGCATGTGTGCGGTTATTGCAGCACATGGTTGGCTCCTGTCCTAGTTAAGATAAATGCTGCTAAAATGCACAACTGTCAACTGCATGACTCAACTTTACCGTCGACACCTGTCAATAGCAAGATGACAGTCAAGTTCAACGTCAACACGCAGCATGACTGTCAAGTTCAACGTCAACACGCAGCATGACTGTCAAGTTCAACGTCAACACGTTTTGAACAAGCTTGTTCTGAACTTATTCTAATATATGTAAGATTATATAAATACAGATATTGTGAACTACACAATTTATTTGATATAGCGCGCGTGTGGTTCATGGAACGACGGTTGCTGCTTTATAAGGTGCGGTTGTTCTTCATAACCAAAGTTTGGGGATAAGGGAACAGTTTTCTATGACATATCATAGAAAACGATAATTGGAAAAGATTCCGACCATAAAATAACTGATGAAAAATCTATGCTCGGCAGCACTCACTGACTACTGAGTCGAAAATATAACCTAAGAGCAATTAAATAAAAATAAATGGACTATTAGATACTAACAATGAATCGGTTAAGCATCAGATTACACCAACCGAAATTTAAGAGAGTCTCCGATACGTTTTCGTCGGCGGTCTCACAGAAAACGATTCTACATAGAAAACGTTTGATGGGTGACATCAATGCTATAGCTTGTGAGCGGTTATTGTAACACGTGGCTTGCTTGTGCCCTAGTCAAGATAAATGCACAACTGTCAACTGCATGACTAAACTTCACCGTCAACACCTGTCAAAAGGAAGCATGACTGCCAAGTTTAATGTCAACAGCTATCAACACACCTGTCAATTACTTGTCACCCCCGTCAACTCTCACCATATCTGCTAGATGCTGGACGTCAATGGAGCCGTTCCTGTCAACGTTGACAGGGCGCACCCTCATCCCCGCCATCTGGGCGCTGGCGGGGTTGGTGCCGTGGGCGGAGGTGGGGATGAGGCACACGTTGCGGTGGCCCTCCCCAATGCCGTCCAGGTAGGACATGATGGTGCGCAGCCCCGCGTACTCCCCCTGCGCCCCACTGTGATGGGGGAGGGGGGGGGAATTGGGGGACAGCCTGCCTAACCTCACACCTCTGATATGTATATATAACCCCTGATCTAGACCTGCCCCTGGCCTAGCCCCTAGCACCAAATCTAGACCTGCCCCCTGATCTATATCTGCCTCTCTGGTCTATATCTATATAGTGATTTCAAAAGCATTATTAGGATAAAACAATATTTTTATATATCTTAATGTTTTAATTATGTACAATTCACCAGTGAACCTCCGCTGGTTGTCAACGACAAATATAGTAATTAAAAAGTAAACATTATCAACATCGTAAGCCAGTTATCCGTGGCCCCATATCTAGATCTAGCCCCATGTCTAGACCTAGCCCCATGTCTAGACCTAGCCCCATGTCTAGACCTAGCCCCATGTCTAGACCTAGCCCCATGTCTAGACCTAGGCCCATGTCTAGACCTAGCCCCATGTCTAGACCTAGCCCCATGTCTAGACCTAGGCCCATGTCTAGACCTAGCCCCATGTCTAGACCTAGCCCCATGTCTAGACCTAGGCCCATGTCTAGACCTAGCCCCATGTCTAGACCTAGCCCCATGTCTAGACCTAGGCCCATGTCTAGACCTAGCCCCATGTCTAGACCTAGCCCCATGTCTAGACCTAGGCCCATGTCTAGACCTAGCCCCATGTCTAGACCTAGCCCCATGTCTAGACCTAGGCCCATGTCTAGACCTAGCCCCATGTCTAGACCTAGCCCCATGTCTAGACCTAGGCCCATGTCTAGACCTAGCCCCATGTCTAGACCTAGCCCCATGTCTAGACCTAGGCCCATGTCTAGACCTAGCCCCATGTCTAGACCTAGCCCCATGTCTAGACCTAGGCCCATGTCTAGACCTAGCCCCATGTCTAGACCTANGAGGTGGTGATGAGGGCTAGGGGTGGTGATGGGGCTAGGGGTGGTGATGAGGGCTAGGGTGGTGATGAGGGCTAGGAGTGGTGATAGGGATAAGGGTTGGTGAGGGTTGCATGGGGGTAGGGGATTAGTGATGGAGGCCGGGGTTGGTTAAAAGGGTAGGTTAGGGATGGAGGTGCAAAAGGGTAGGGGGTGATGGAGGAAGGGGTTGGTTATGAGGGTAGTGTAGGTGATGGGAGTAGGGGTTGGTGGGGGGATGGGAAGTCGTGATGAGGTGGTGGTGATGGGTAGGGGTGATATGGAGGATGGGGTGAAAACCTAAATATTGGATATTGGAGAGGTGGCATACCCCACTCTACCCACCCAGGGACTGCTCTGGGGGAACAGAAAATACTTATGCCCCACTCTACCCACCCAGGGACTGCTCTGGGGGAACAAACAAGACTTGTGCCCACTCTACCCACCCAGGGACTGCTCTGGGAGAACAAAAAAGAGTTGTGCCCACTCTACCCACCCAGGGACTGCTCTGGGAGAACAAACAAGAGTTGCCCCCCACTCTACCCACCCAGGGCCTGCTCTGTGGGAACAAACTAGACTTGTGCCCCACTCTACCCACCCAGGGCCTGCTCTGGAAGAACAATCAAGTCCCCCACTCTACCCACCCAGGGACTGCTCTGGGGGAACAAATGGGTGCAGGTTGCTGATGTTAGGCAGGCTGCACCCCAGCATCTCGCTGGTGCTGTTCAACTTCATCGTACACGAGCCCTGCNATCTAGATGTGTATAAGAGGCACATCACACTCAGGCACATCACACTCGGACACATCATATCCAAGCACATCACAATCAGGCACATCACGCTCTGGCACATCACACTCAGACACATCACACTCTGGCACATCACACTCAGACCTTATGACAGTTTAGGACTTCCTAGTCCCCGGTCACGCTGATGCGCAGCCTTCGTCCTCCTCCGTCTCCGAGTCGTCGCTAGGCAGGTCACCCCGCCCTCTGGTCCCGGATGTAACCTTGGACGTGTTCCGTATATTTGCCCTCCTTTTGGCCAGCTGATGCAAGATGCTGTTGCTTGTCACTTGCTGAGGGTAGTTTCCCATTACTGGACAATCCGGGATCGGGCACGAAAAATGTATCCAGGTGTCTCATGAATGTGGCAAGGAATGGATGTTGCAGTTGTGGTGAACTTCCCCCCTCTTTTCAGCACTTTCGACAAGGAGTTGAACAGCGGAAACAGATCTATAGCGAGGAGTCTGAACTCTGGCCGCTACTCGGCTGTTAAATGGGGTACCATGCAGAGTCTCCCTCTTCTTTCGCTGAGATAAGTCACTATTCTGAAGGTTGTGCTTTCAAAGTTGAGAGCCATTCCGGTTATCACCTTTCAAGTGTACAATATGATGTACCTCTCTTTTCTCCTCTCCAGTGAGTAGTCCCAGCTGTTTTCAACCTGTCCCAGAAGTCCAGATCCCTAAAACTGCTGACCCTGGACGTGAAGGTCTGTTGGACTGCCTCCAACTAACGTACCGCACCTGCCTTGTGAGGCGCCCAAAGCTGGCAGCAGTACTCCAGAATTGGGAGCACGAGAGCTTTGAAAAAAGTTTAATCATTGGCTCCGCTTCTCTTGTACGAAGGGGTCGCCAGGGGGATCATGGAGTGTACCACTACGCACCAGGGGGATCGTGGAGTGTACCACCACGCACCACGTACCATGCAATGCAATATACACCACCACGCAGCAAAGAGTGCACAACGCACCAGACTCGCAATGTTGAATTATAGAAAGGGTTTAAATGATCAAGAACACATAGTATATTGTAAAGGCCATCGCGTAACCAGTCACAGTCTGGATAAGAAGATATCATGATCCCGCAACCAATCACAGTCTGGAGAGGATGAAATCATAATCCTATCAACCAATCACAGTCTGGATAGGATGACATCACAATCAGTCACAGCTGGAAAGGGGCATGTAGCCGCTCAAAAATTGTGGCTGATGTACGACGACTGCCGCTGTTGCCAACCACACAATGCCGGTCTCTCGATATTTTTGCGATACGTTGAGGGGGGACAAATGAATAAACATAACGGGCGGCTGAGCTACGACTGCCGCAGTTGGCAGAAAATAAACTTTTTATTTTGAAACAAACCAGCGCGGGTATAACTGATTAAATGCTGAAAATAAAATGAATTGGAGTCACATGATGAATGTAAGATATATATGGAATATGATGAATATATGGTGGATATTGACATATGATTTAGACATAGTGCGGGACATTTTTGTCCATCCCGAGGTAACATTGATATGTACACGGACAGATTTTGCATGTGTAGGTAGATTATTTGTCGATTTAGTCATTCTCCAATAACAAAATGTACTTATATCAATAGATATTAATATTTATTTAAAATATACAACATGGGTGATGTGGATGGCTGAGTCCCCCACCTTGGCTGCGGTGGTGGAGCTCCCGAACACCCACAGGAGGTCGTCGAGGTCTTCCTCCGTCACCGTCTCATCCAGCGCCACACCCACCTGGGGGAGGAGTCACCACACTCACCTAGTCACCACACCTAGTCACCACACTCACCTAGTCATCACACTCACCTAGTCATCACACTCACCTAGTCATCACACTCACCTAGTCATCACACCTAGTCACCACACTCACCTAGTCACCACTCTCACCTAGTCACCACACTCACCTAGTCATCACACTCACCTAGTTATCACACCTAGTCACCACACTCACCTAGTCACCACACTCACCTAATCTCCACACTCACCTCGTCACCGCACTCACCTAGTCACCACACTCACCTAGTCACCACACTCACCTAGTCACCACACTCACCTAGTCACCACACTCACCTAGTCACCACACCTAGTCACACTCACCTAGTCACCACACTCACCTAGTCACCACACTGAGAAATAGAAACTGTTACGGTCTGTTGGACCGCCCCCAATTGCCGCAAAGCGCCCGCCTAGAGCGGTGCCCAAAGCTGGCAGCAGTACTTTAGAGTGGGGAGCACGAGGGCTCTGAAAAGTGTAATCATTGGCTCCGCTTCTCCTGTATGAAGTCATCCGCCAGATCCACCCCATCCGTGGATCTGTCACCACACTCACCTAGTCATCACACTCACCTAGTCACCACACTCACCTAGTCACCACACCACACCTAGTCACCGCACTCACCGAGTCGTCAGGGTAGTAGCGCAAGTTTATCTCCTTCTGCTGCGCCCGCATGCGAACCTCGTTGGTCGCCACCGACGCGTGCACCTACACAGTGAATATCATATTATGTAGATAACCTCTAAACCAGATAACCTCTACACCAGATAACCTTTTAATTATTATTCTTTTTAATAACCTAGACGAGATAACCTCTAAACCAGATAATCTCTACACCAGATCACGTTTAATTATTCTCAGAGCGAGGCAAGTCTCAAAGCGAGGTTTTCACGACCGCGGTGTGAAATCCAAGATCTGTCCTCAGATCAGTTACTTCTCTCGAGGCTGCAGTCTTTGTAAGGTTATAGCTGAGCCAGCGCGGTTTTAGAGGCAACGGGCGGCTTTTAGGTGGCCGAGGAATGACCATTTTCTGTTACTTTCTGCAGACTGCAGACAACAACAGAGACTAACGCTTGGTAACGCACCTGGTAACCCAAGTAGTAACTCATTTGGCTCCCCCTAGTAACCCACCTGATAACCATGGTTACCTAACGATTAACCGTTAGTAACTCACCTGGTAACCCCTGTTAACCACCTTAAATGAACCTCCGAGCAACCAACGTGGCAACCCCATGGTAACCCAGCAGGTAATCCCCAGGAACCCCCCTAGTAACCCCTCAGGTAACCCCCAGTAACCCTTGGGTCATCAAACCCAGTAACCTGTCTCTTATACACATCTAGATGTGTATAAGAGACAGCCCTGGGACCTGGTAACGTACCCTGGGACCTGGTAACGTACCCTGGGGCCCTGTAACGTACCCTGGGGCCCTGTAACGTACCCTGGGACCTGGTAACGTACCCTGGG